ATTTTTCAGGACTAAGAAAATATCTCATTGTATATAAATGCACATGTAAACACATATACACATAAATATGAAACAATATATCCTACATAAATGGAAAGATATTATCTAGAATTTCATCTGCAAAGCAAAATCACACTGCACTTGTCTTTGTTAGAATAAATTCATAGAGACAAGAAGCACGCACACCATCTATATGTCTACATTTAGTAGGTTAAAATTTAGACAGGTCAGACTTTTATCCTTATTAAGAAGCATTTTGGCTACCGGGAACATTCTCTTGTGCTTTATCAGGTAACAATTATTCATGAATTTCTGAAGATTACATTTATTGGAATTTCTCATTAGAAGAGTTTTCTGCAAAGCAAAGCATTTCTGATACCAAATAATGCTAAGCCATTTAATTCCATGAGAACAAAGCAAAGTGTTATGGATTCAAGATTGAGGCTTGAAAGAAATATGATCATAGGAAAAGATTAGAGAATTGGAGGAAGTATTAATGTATATGTTTCATTACATACTGCATTTTTTTTTAAAATAGTAACCACTCTAAAATCCAAAGCTCGCCTGCTACGGCAGTTATGGCTTCAGTCCAGCTTGTTTTCCTGTTCCAAGCCATGCTGAATGAGATGGGAAGAAAAGGGGAATATTATGACTTTCTGATACACAAACTGCACCAGTCCTGCAATAATTAGCAAGGCCTAGAGACCATTCTAACATACCCTAGGGTATGGTCCTAAAGGATTATTCCTATAAAAATTACTGTACAGAAAGGACGGACTTCTGTGCTATCTCATGTTCACTGCTTTTCCTGTCTTACTACCTTTAAAGGAGGTGGTTTGGGACCAAGCTTCGCTATTTTGTATTAAATAAGAATTCCTTTCCCCTAGAGCATTCTCAGGTACATCCTGAGGCTTTAAATATGCATTTCTTGCACGTGGAGTTATGGAGAACTGAATTTACATAATGACAGATTTAACACACAATAGGAGATTTTGGACTGTTTTTCTTATACAGAAGTACATCTTTTATCTCTTGCAATTATTTAACTTCCTGATTTGGGTAGTGGTGAGACTTGATCTCACTTCTGAAAGTACTATCAGATGTTGCTTTTGCAGATATTAAAAGAATAACAACTTCAGTTCAGACTCATCAATTTCTTTTACTTTAATTATAGTTCTTGACAACCTGAGTTGCAGATGAGTAATACACACATAGAAGCACTCACAGACAAGAAGACATACCCTCAAGGGAAAACATTACAAGTCTTCCCAGCCTGAGCAGGTTCAATTGCAAATACTGAACAAAACAGCTTAAAACAAAGCATTTAATAAAAGTCACAATGGGAATGTATTTCCATTAAATGTAGGAGGTCATAATAGCCTTTAGGAAGAGATCAAACTGAGCGAGGAAGGTTAAAAGTTGCCTTATATCTTTGGCCTCTGAAATATTTTCTTCCACACCTGGAACATATTATTATTACTATTATTATTTATGAACCTCACAGGAGCAAGGGAAAAATATGTTTGTTCTCACATGACATCATTAATCTTACATAATTAATAAGCAGCTGCATCAACAAAAAGGGTTTGTTTTGTATAATGTATTCAGGACATTGATATGGAGTCAAAGTAAAAAACTATCCAGTGTCAGAAAAATCCATCCTAACCTCTTACTGTTAGATATTCTCAAATGCTTTCTTTTAACATCAATTCTTTCTAATTTTAACTAACACATCATCAAAATACCATGTGAACTAGGCTACCAGGTAGGTAATAGTATCACTAGAGAATGAGAGAAAACATACAAGTGATTTTCCTAAATCTCATCAAAGACCAAATTAGAGCCCTATAAAACTGGATTAGAGCATTAATATCCAATCCAAAAGACTGCAGAAACATTTTCATCCTTTTTATATCTGCAACTAGATTCAACATTCCCATTGTCAAAAAATTAGAGAAGTTACAGCTTCACTCAGTCTCAGATGGGATGTTACATATTTCATCATTCCTCAGCTGTGACAGACAATGAACAAAAAAGGTTTTTCCATTCATCCATCAAGCTGATCCACTACAGCAATGGGACATCTTTGGGTCAGAGGTGTGTCTGTGTTAAGGTCTCAAACTTTTATATGTGTCAGCTTGATATTTTTACATGGTCTTTTCAAGCTGTTGTTTCAATTTCTTAAAATATATCCATTTTTGCCTTCTGTAGGTATACCAGTAGTACATATAATATTTCTGTGCAGTTGGTACTCTTCAGCTTTTCACAGTCTTGCTGTATTCAAACTTTATAGACAGCAGCCACCGGTACCTTAGTGGTGCCTGTCCATTCCCCATCATCTGTCCGTCTTATTAAGCAAGAAGACAAGCACTTTTCTTTTTTTCTGACAAATCTTTGATGTCAACCTGAACATGGACCCATTTTTAACTTGATTTCTAGTGCCTGGGTGCAAGTGCTTAAATCAATGACTTGATCAGCATTCACATAGTTTTCTTATGCTTATTAGGCTTAACTTAAGTCCCTTAAGAAAATTATTAAAGTCTTCATTTACTGTCTCTTTGCATTTCCATGCATTCATTTAATTAATCATAGTTGTATTCCTTGGAACACTTGGAAGATTTCCCTCCTTTCTTGAATGTATATACATTTCTAAAATGTTTTCAGTTAGGTATATTCTTTCTCTACTTTTGTTCACTGTTTAGACAAGTAATGTGTTCTAGTATATGTTCACAAATCAGTCTTATCTTTTTTGCTCTTCCCTTAGTTTTCTCTTTATCAACTACAGATATCATACTAAGCAGGTCAAAACAAGATTTCAGATTTGAGCACTGCTAGCCCCAAAATACCATCTGGGGTATTATCTGCTACCTGATCTATTGAACTGTTTATATCACATTTTCATGATGGAATCTACCATATTTCTCATCTTGTGTTGTTACTGGAGAATGTTCTTGGCCATACTCAGTCTTCCAGAATTTAATTGTGCTCCTTCCATATGTTTCTATTCCAATAAAAGACAATTTATTTCTTTTTAGAAGATCTCAGAACTGCTACTACAAGTGTAATATTTCTCATATTTGAGGGCTTATCCTCTGAACACCCTTCTCGTTATCAGAATGAGCAAGCTTGCTTAGGCTTCATAATGTCTGGTGGTCACAAGTTTGAAATATATTCCTACTTTATTTGGCAAAAACAACTGTGGTGCAATAGTCAAGTCATAGGTTACCTAAGTTATGAATTAACTGAATTCTACTTGGTACTTTTTACCATAAAAGCCTTTAAAAGTTCAATTTTTCTTTTCTCTTTGGCAGACTAGTAGACATACACGTTAATAAGGAGCAGATGCAATACAGGGCGCCAGAGGTGTTTTTCCTCCTCTCTGTCTTCATACATGCAAACAACTTGAAATCAAGACGGTGTAATGAGAAATCAGACATATGTTTATTTCAATTATGAACTGAAATTCACAGCACTATCATCACGTTGCATTACTCAGATGCAGCCTAGTTTTGCATTGTGTTCCTGAACTTATATATCATCTCTAACAGTCATAATAGCTCTTCATTTAGTCAACTGGACTAGCTGATTTGTTGAGTTTGTAAATCCACAAATACACTGGTTTGAAGTAGCATCTGCAGATACTGCAGGATTAGATTATGATAAAAGTTTTGAAGGTTAAGAAGAAAAATACTTGACTTCTGTTGTTAGTTGAAGTGACTGGTACTAGACATTAGTCACACACTTTCTTTTTTCAATAGAAGGAAAGGACAGAAAAACAAAGAGCACACAAACAGAGCAGGGAATACACGTTAATCATTACTAAGACTGAAAAAATAATCATGATTAGATTGCAATTTACATGATCCTTGTAGCAACAAAAAGCTTAAGGGAAAACATCAATATTAACTCTGTGTGCTTATAATACATACCCTTAAAAGAGATTTAAGGAGCATTCATATTTCATCTTCCAAAAGGCAGGATCTTATGCTAGCACTCTTTACTAGCATTGAATGGTCCCCCATTCTCTGAGCAATTTTATTTAATGGAGTTAGGTTTAGCAGCATGTACTATTTTTTTCAATTTTAGTATACAGCTAGGTTATTAAGAAAATCCCAGTGGATAATATAAGCAATTATGTTTACTCTTGAACCTGCTTTTCCAGAATTTGGATGATAAAAATTCCATTTACAATAAATTAGAATGAATATCCCATTTTAAGCCCTCCAGTTCTTGGGAAGTTTTTTGAAAAAATGTGCTTCAGCCTGTAAGGTTGTCATTGTCTAAAAATGTACGGTGTTTAGAAGCATCACCTTTTTGCAATTTTGTTGATAATTTCTGGAACTTTAAAGTGTGCTCTGTAAATAAATGTATGCCCAGAATTGTTATGCTTCCCTCACTTGTTCTTTCAGCACAGTTTGTCAGTTCTCATTTTCAATGCGAGAAAAACATAGTTCTTTCCTGTCCTCCTTCACATAGTGGTTTAGGTGGCCTACCCTACTCAAGGGTCAGCCCAGAGGGCTGGATTGTGTAATGTTTATTTAGCACCAGTGGACACAAGTGTAGTTCCAGTTGTAGTCACTGGAATTTCAGCTGCTTGCATCAGTGTTTATGTTTTTGTGCAGTTCAGCTGTTCAAAACCATATGCAAAATAACGCTACTCAGAAGTCTGTCAATCAAATTCATGCCCGATCTGATGGCAATCAGCTTTTAAAGGGGATAGAGCTTTCTGTCCTCTCTGTTTTTCATCAAAAGGTGCCAAAATGTATCCCCTTTCCCAATAAGCAAGCCCTGTAGGGCTTGCATGCTTAACCTGTGCTACGGGAGCAAGTGAGAGGAACCACCAGACAGCGGGGTTACTCATCGTGGAAGAGTCCCTGTTTCCTTGACCAAGCATAGCTCCTTCAGCACACGTTTTCCTCCCTCCTCACCTCTACACTACGGCACAATATTTCTCTTGCTCTCTCTCTCACTATCTCTTTTCTGTATCTCTCGGAAATCAGACTGGAGTTCAGAGCACTTTCACTACCTTTTATGAGGTAGAGTGTGATGTCATAGATGGGGGCAGGGCTAGTCAACTTTCTACCCACCCACCCACCTGTGCTGAGGGAGCTACGCTTGAGACCGGAAGCAGTGACTCTTCGACGGTGAGTAATCTTCTGTCTCATCTATATCTTTAACTCTTATCTATAGATCTGGGGGTGGAGGGAAAAGACATGAGAATGGGGGATTTTTTTGTTAGCTTTTTTTTTTTTTTCTTTTTTTTAGATTAACCATAGGGCTCACCGAATGAATTGCATGTGTTGTTTTAGTCACCTGCGAAAAATAATTTCTTTACTGTTCTAAAGTCCTAGAGTTAATGTCGTCTGTAAAACAATGATGACGTTTCTTTGCAGAGATGGTCCATTTGCCGGTGGTTAAACCGATCCTTCAGTGTTTGTGTTGCATTGTGAAAAGGCAGACTCTGGTCCCTTTGAACTCACTTGCTAAAATTCCATTAATTTAATTACAGTAGTGTTGGGCCATCATTTTTCTGAAGTACTTTGTGATTAAAGATAGATGGTGTTATTTATATATTTATCATTTTTAACTGTGAATAATGCCTGTTGATATAGGACAGGATTTCTGTTTTCTATATGCTCTGTTACTATTTTTATTTGCTTTATCCAGAATGTTTATGAAACTATGTATTGATAATAGGTCAATTGTATGAACTATTTTATAGATGAAATAAAATTCAAAAGTTAATTGTGGAAGACGTGAAATTAAGTAGGAAATCAAATCCCAGGAGATGTAACTGAGATTTACCCTCTGAAATTATAAATCAAACCATTTGATATTTTTCTGTGGTAAGAACTTGAGATGGGCAGGGAAATTGCTAACTGAATTTCTTGGTGTTTTTCTTGTGTCACTACCTATACATTACTATTTTACTTTAAAGCATTGTCTTGTTACCTATTTCCCTTGCTTCAAAGTATTACTGCTTCACTGTTTGAATATCCCTCAGCATTTTAAAAAAGACAGGATGGACCACGAAGATCTTCCTCTCATTTTGCCTCTTGGGTGTCTATTAAAGCTGTCAAGATGTCAGAGTTCTCATACTAAAGGGCAGAAGGAGGATCATATGAAGATTTTGACCCGTAGGGATACTGCAAATCTTGCTGTTCTTGTTCATTTAAAGCTCTTTACCAGCTGCATGTGGGGTCTTGTTGTATCTCAGTGAAAGGCACTAAAAGCAGCAATGCATACTCTATAAATCAAAGGCAAAGAGAGTGCAATCACAACCTTTACAACAGAGGTGGTCCGTAGTCTGATTGATGAAATACTTCTATTTTCAGGTGACTAGGTGGCTTTGAGGAATTGGGTATAGGATGCAGAGCCTTCCATCTTCTGGTCACTGGCATGTATTGGGGACTGGTCAGCAGTGATGGATAGATATTCCTCCCTGATGACTCAGTGATGCCCTTTGTATCAATCTGAATGAAACTCTGGGAGGATGAGTCTTGTTTACAAAGCTACCAAAACTTTCACTAATGGCTGTTTCCCTTTCTGTCAGAGAGAAAAATAAGGATAAAGAATATAAAAATTGGCTTCCTGAGAGGTGGTAGCTTTTCTAGATTTGAATAATGAGTGCAAGGAGTTTTATTACTACTGCTTATTCCTCTAGTGAACCAAACATTGAAGTCTCCAAATCTTCCTTTGCAAAGCCAAGAACTTCCCTAGAAAACTTTATTCTTTTAAGTAGGAAAGGAAAAGCAGGTTAGTCAATCTCTTTTGCTGGGAAAACTTTATAGGAATTGTTGTTGTTAAAGGCAGTTTGAGGTTTCTTCTTTTCAGAGGCAAGTGCTTTGAGGTAAAATTTAATTTAGATCCTAAGCACATCCTTTGCTGATGAATTTACAAAATTAGTTTTGCACATAATTATTCTTGCATAATGCAGGAGACTTTAATTTTTGCACAGAATAGGTAAAACATAAGGACCAACTGTACAGTGACCCAAATCTCACTTCAATGATACAAAAGCATTTTGGTGGCATAGAGAGGGAAATTCTTTTCAACAGTGATATATGTATTGGGAACAGGAAATCAGAATTGGTATCATTAAGTAATTAAGGTGAATTAGAGATACTGATCAGCACTGAGGGTGTATTATGGAACAGAGATGTCAGTGGATTACTTTAAATCCAGAGAAATTTGCTCTCTACATTTATCTTGTAAGATAAGAAAATCAGCAGTTGACTGACTTATGGCGGGGGGGCAGTTTTAGAGGGAATGATATTCAAAATGACATAAGCTGTTGCAATAATTAACCTGGAATCTTCCTGTGCCAAATCTAATAAATTTTTGTCCATGCAACCCCAGGATGTGGGTTTGCCTGAGCAACCTAACACTGGGAGAATAAATAGCCTAATTTTACATTTAGTGAGCTAATTCCCCTGTTAAATTATTTTACTGGCACCTATTATTAAAAAAAAAATTAACACATCTAAAGTGCACAGCTTCCTGTATTTTACAGCTTTGGCTTGAATGTGTATTCAGTCAATTGCGATGTTTCTTTTAACTGTATATTATTTACATGTACATAAATTAAAGTAAAACATAATAAGGCCTAGAGTTCAGCTGATTTTATTTAGTATGTACTATGAAAACTTTTGAAAGCAAATATCTGAGCAAGTTGTTCCAGTATATGCTAATTTAAATGAGTTAAATCTTCGTAAGTTTTTTTCAAACTGAAAGTTACTTTAAGGCATTCTTAAAAATTGTGTTGTTTTATGTTTGCAAGCACATTGTGTATTCCTGACTCAAAGCAAACCCAGTAACTAGTATATTTATACCTTTATATTTAAGCAGGTCAGCATTTAAATTACAGATTTGTTCCTCAGTCATGCTGGCAAGGTGTGAGTAATACTTTAATGATGTAAGATCATATATAGGGATCAAACATTTTTTCAGTATGATTAAGATAGCTATGTAAAATTCCAAAATATTCTCTATTTGCCACGCCGATTTCTCTTACAAGTTGAATTAAAACTTTGTGGGTTGGTTCTTATATTCTTCTTTTTCTATATGAGAAGTGAAGGAGAGCTATGAATTGCACCATCTGTTCGCAAACCGTGTCAGCTGGCAGATAGATGCTCATCACCCTGCCCTCTCTTACTGCAGTTTTAGGCTGGTATAACACCGTTGACTCAAATTGAATTACTTTTGTTTTAACCTTGTTTAAGCCAAAGAAGTCACAATGATAGCGCGCAGCATTCTAGAGGACTCTCCGTGTTGATTTAAATTGCAATCCTTTTAAACTTCGACCTCAGCTCATTTGAATTGTCAACAAAATGCTCAATAGCACTTGGACTGAGTGTAGTGGTTCGAGGAAACGAGGACTGCCTTAACACCCCGGACTTTCTGTTTCTGGGACAGTTGCATCTCAAAGACATTAAATATGATTCTGTTCAATCATAAGCCTTTGGATTTTTATCAGTCCCTTCTGAGTGTCTCAAAGCAAACACGATGGTGTACTCTCGTAAAATTGGAAACAGAAGCAAATATTGTTGTTGTTTCCCTTCTGCAAATGAAAATGCTGAGCCACACTCAAGGCAGAAAAGATCTGTAGAATCATGATGAGTTTCAAGCACTACATTCTTCTCCAAGACTCAGATAATTTTCAAGACCAGCATTTCTCTGCCTTCCATTCCATATTCCAGTTTCCACTTTGGATGGCCAAATACAAATTAAACAAATAGAACCAGGAGAAAGTTCACTGTAGTTAAGAAGTACGGTTTGAAAATGATAGAATTGGAAAGAAACCTTGCAGTAACAGGGGGAGGCTACCCCACTCAAGTTGTGCAGAAGATGAGACTAGGTCTATGGTGTAATGAAAACTGAGTATTTCATTATTCAGAAAGATTTTGCTTGAATTATGAAGAGTTTTTGACTATTGTCTCGATTACTAGGTCGAGAGTGATTCATCTAGCCAAGTGTAAACATCTGCATCTGAGATATTCACTCCAGGCTTCCTTTCTAATTAGCAGAGATCAATAGCCATTTCTGGAGAGCAGATATTGTTGTTTCAGGTAGATGCTGATAACTGGTTAGATTAGTAACATCACAAAAAAAAAAAAAAAAAAAGACAGAGGCATGGGCAGGTGAATTAAACCATGTATTCAGACAAGCACAGAGTCAGGGGGTTTAGCCTTGGGGTTCTTTTGAGGGCATATATTCATATGTAAGTGATGTAAACTTTCTGTGAACTTAGCTGCTGGAGAAAGGAAACTGCCTGATTTTATCTGAACAGAAATATTTCAATTGTTTTGTAAGGAGCATTTATCTATATAAAGTAGCTCTCTTGGGGTCCCAATCTCATTAGTTTCTATAGGCTGGAGGGACTGATACGTTTTGTAGTATGTGGTTTTCCCCCATTTGATGCTTTTGGGGAGCAAAAGAGAAGAATTAAGGAAAACAATCTCAAAAATATTCATTAAGTTTGATTGAATTCTTGGACTACTGGGTCAAGTCCAAGGATATTTTTTGGCAGATGTTGACAATCGGTGCCCAGATTCACTGTACGATCTTTAGGATTCTAATGCAATTTAGGATCTCTAAATGTAATTAAAAAGGTGAGGTACTCTGGCCCATCTCCATAGAAAATGAACCTGTGAAAGATCTCAAGTGCTCCATGGTTCCTGTTCTTCTCCACCAAGGACAGAAGTAGTCTGGAATGCCTTGGTCCAGCACCTGGAGTTAGGTAGGATGAGGATGAGTGCAGGATAAGACTTCATTTATAGAAATGGAAACTTTGAAAACCTTGCCTAGGTTGCTAAACACGTAGTCTCAATAGTTTTTATGAGCAGCCCTATTTTTCTTGCCTGCATTCCTAGTGAAATTGTTCAATCACAGACAGCAGAAAAAAATGCTCCTGGGGGTTCTAGTTCCACCAGCTATGAACAGCTCTTGGATCCTGACTAATATTAAAAGACTTTCAGTCCCAATTTTTCTGATGCCAAATAAGTGCAGGCAAGTCCATAGATAATCATGACTAATGTACTATATTTAAATTAAGTAAGAGCTTTATAAGAAAAGAGCCTGTGCAATTTTTTTCATTTCACCATTCTTCTAAATAACAGCTGAATTTATACCCCCATCTCCTTTA